TCAGAGGTCCAGCATGAGGTCAAGTAGTACAGCATAGTACAGCAATACACTAAGGTTTGTTATATGTGATGATGTGCTCCTCGATCTTCAGTATAACCAGTGGAGTAAGGCACAATTCAACCTTGCGCATACGGTGCTGGCGCTGTCAAAGTGGAACGGCTCGGATTTGGAGCCTCCTAACTTCGGAGCAGAATCAGGAATTCCCAAATTAGGACTTCCTCACGCTCCTTGAAAATGAAAAGTTTTTGAGGAAGCGCTCCTTAACGGAGAACCGTTGGGAATTCCTACTTCTGAGATACGCCTCGAGGAGCTGTTCCTAGGTTTTTGGCCGAGCATCCACTGGACACGTGAATCGGTGACTTCTCATCCTCGTCGGCCACACTGTTCACGCGTGTGGGATTAACGGGAGCCCCCCGTTGACTAACACTACTCGGGATGCCATTTGGACTCAAAAGGAGAGCTACTTGGTGTTGGGCACCTGCTTTGCCCAAAGCTTCAACATATGCCATGATGGCATCAGCGCGCGCCAGGGGTGGGGGCCCCTGAGAGAGCGCGCCCAAACCTTTCACGCAATCGCGCAGGTGCGACCTGCCTATTGAATAGGGCTGGAAATGAAAAAGCTAAATTTAAATGGCCCGTGGAAATCGGCTGATTATCCGTGTACACATAGATCTCTACGCTAATGGGTGTCCTCTCAAGTATGGTTGAAACTGAAATCCTGTGACCAGAGATTGGTCTTGAAATGTTCGAATCCACATGTTGATGCGTGCTTATGGCGCGCGCAAAAGTTTCGTCAGAGCAGTTTTACGGGAGATAGGAGATTGATTCGATGAATCGGGTTCTGAGATCTTCGCCTATTAGTGGTACAGTAATGCATGGGCATGACGTGTTCCATGGTATATGCGAACTCACGCTCTGGTGTAATGAATTTCATATTTTTGTATTCAACTGGTGTCTTTGGTTGCACATGCTCCATTTTCCTAGAGCATCTACAGTATCTCATGCTGGAGACTCCAACGCTCCAGCGCGGAATGTTGTGGATGGCCTGTGTTCGATACATGGCTCAAGTGTTATAACTCTATTGGTGTTGTTCAGTTCAAACTGATTGTGTTTGCAATGTGGAAAATGATGTATGGGGAGGTGGTAATATATGGGCAGTGATATACGGACGATAATATGCTACACAAACATACTTCATTGACATAGTGTGATACATCGTTACTGAATATTCTCGAGAACTTTGAGTTGTACAATTCTCGTAACGGATTCCACACTTGTGCGGTTAAATTGACCTCATATTGCGGTTTTCGTTCGAGCCAGATGGCTCGCGAAAACCGCCTCCTTTCCCTCTCACTAAAGTAACCTTTGGGGGTTAGATCCGGGATTCGCGGACCGCGAACATCCGTCATTGGAAATTTTTGTGCCACGGGCTGGCTAACGAGCTTCTCCAAAGAGGTTTAAAATAGTGTATCTGATGGGACATACCGTATGCGAATTGATCACTGATGAGCAACTGAAATTTCCCAACTGAGGCCGATTCCTTAATTTTTCTGGCAGCAGGTCTACTTGGTCTCATGATCTCTTGTATAAACTGAATCCTCATCCTAAGAACTTGGATCGTCGTAAAACGGGTCATCCGTCCATGGCGACTCGCCATTGGCGAGGTCGATCTGATGAGCGTGCGTACGCGTGCACAAGATCGCATGCGCAACGAAAGGGAGCCGCTATACAATGGAGCTGGCAAACATGGTATAGTCTGCTGTAATCGACCATCCTTTACTCGACATGCCCGCCGGATGGAATATTACAAGGACGAACGTTAGGATAGTGAGTTTCCTTAATCCGATGGGATGTGACCTCGTCCGGTGGAATCGAGGCATTAACTAATCTTGGAACAACCCCGCGTAAAATCTTATGCACGCGGTACACTTCAGGAGCGTACCTACCGCTGCGTCCCAATGTATTAGGGTTGAAAAGTACAACAGTTGAGCCGACTGGTGGCGGCCCCTTCCTGCCGAACTTCGGCAGCCGAAGGAATCTTGCGGAGCCCATGGGCATGATGCGAGCAGCCATCAAGCTACACTTGATTAACATTTACATTTAGCTACACTCAGTCTGTCGAGTAAGCTGTGAGGAACGGTAAAGACTCAAGGTTAACATCCACTTAGGACAAAGCCCGGTCGGAGTCGATTAGATTCACCCTAATACAGTAACAGGTCATTCCGAGTTTTTTGTCCGATCATTCCGACCCGATTTTCAAGTCGCGGCCTTCTCGAGTCGGGAAGACTCCCGTGAAAGTAAACACTTCGAAGTGTATCGTACATTTCTCACACACATCATGTAAGTGAATGTACGTACGAATATACATCAAACTCGGATTGTATAGACCTTGTGAAGAACTATAATTGCTCGAGCGATACGTACTGTACCTAAAGTATACAAATGCATACTGCGAATTATTTGCAGTATGCATTTGTATTCTATCATAGCGGATAATATCTATATATTTTATGACAACTATTATAGTTGTCATAGTCAACTGTAGTATTCTCTCGCAGCGGGAATGCCTCGGTTCTGATACTGCAGTTGAGTAACGAATAGCCATTAATCTTCAATTCAATTGTTCCTTCTCTCCAATGGTGATCAACGATCATTGTCAATCATAAACTGAAATCCATAACGAGCAATAGTGCGGGGCGAGATCGACATGAAGATTTCGTATCAAAAACCTATGCGTGCCCGATGTCCGAAATGGTCTCGGACTCCTGTCACACACAGGTATTCCTGTAAATGTCTCCACACACAAAGCTCAGTAGTGAACAACCTTCGCTGCAGTTCATCGGAACTCAGCAAAAACATTGCTATTGTGATCGGATAAACTATATATCATCTGTTCGATCGATCTGTAGACAGTACTAGCTATACCACTGTTGTACTGCTGCGATGAGGTGTACCAGTGTACCTTCTCTTTGTACCTGCGTAGCACTGTGTGTCTTAAAGACAGTCTTTGGGCTAGCATAAGTGGTGCAGCATTTGCCATGCGCATGCGTGCAGCCATCGATGAGTACAGTACGCGTCTAACGATACTCGTTAGACTCGCTACGTTTCTGATCGTGGAAAAAAAGGTGGATTGGCTCCTCTATCTACTTATAATAGCGTCATCAGTGATATTGATCATGATGATTTACCACGTATTGATGGGCGGGCGATAGAACTACGACTCCGATGGCACATTCGCCAAGATCCTACCGCTAAATCTAGATCCATCATCAGTGCATTCTGGAGAATCTGCATTCCCTTAATCCAACGATTGAATAGCAGAAAAGCAAAGTCAAACCGATTCAAGATGAATACACTGGACTCTAGAACATAACGATGTGCTTCCGCAAACCTTCATGCCGATCCAAAACATGTGATATACGAGACACGAGACCATGTCACCCACAGAATGGTATTCTCAGGATCCCACACGTCCATCCCAATGGTCAATGAAGCCCCTTGTTGAACCCTCCAGTGACACTTTCCCCTTTCCATTAAAAACTCATCGCTCAACAGCTAATATCAATACACACTAGCGCGAGCTCATCAATCGTAAGATTACAGGAACAGCATCATCACCGTTGATAATCAGCACGCATACACAAGATTCTCAACAGAGACGCTAGTGGTGCTGCTAAGGGTGATGAACTTGAGAGATACTCCTAGAACATCTTAAAGATCGGGATTCCTCCATGGTGAGCTCTCCGCAAACTCGAAATCAGTAACTTGGGTTAACTCGCCGTGCCTGAAATACACCGATTACCCCTTCTAATGGGTCCACTCCTTCCTAACTGCACTTCTACGTTTCTCGAGACCACTGAAACTCCATTTGAAAGTATCTCTGAGCTCTTGTGTAGAGTTCTCCACTACTATCATTATTCCGGGAACCGACGCATTCCACTTATCATTGAAATTCATCCACGGGATAATGACACTCTGAACATTCACTATTTAATTCTGATGCTTATTTCTACTGCATGGAAAAAAATATGATGTACGGAATAAACGAGAGTCCGCTGATTCGCCGCATATTACCTCCAGATCCCCGATAACACATGGCCGCTGTCGAACTGCAAGATACCCCTGAAAGATGCAAAATCTGCACCAGCCCGAGTCTGCGAAAGAGCTTCTATTACCTTCCCTCTCTCCGACCGAAGGCAAAGTCACCTTCGTAGCTACTACCGTCTTCAGCACAAGTGAACAGACCGCGACCTGAGACCGAAAACTCATTCTCCAACTGTGGACATCCTCACACAGTCATAAAGGCTGAGTAAATGAGAGATAGTAGAAAGCGCTTTGGATTCCCATTGCTCCTCAGTGTTGGTATCGATAGCGTTGAGTATTATGCAACATAGTGTTGTCATCAAAGAGCGAAGAGACGATATGAACGCTGTCACTCAGCAACAACCTCCGATCTACTATATAGTAGTTCCACGCAGGTGCCACTCAAAACCAATATCAAACTGAGCGTACAACTACCATGTCTCTTATCGTCCTGCCATTGCCCTTCGTATTTATTGCCATTGGCGTACACAAAAACTCCATAACCGCATGCTCGATCATCTACCCATTGGCCCTTGAACCTGAACCTTAGTCCCGACACAGCGTTGAATTTAGGCCTTACTTGTCGCCATTAGAGTATATGAGCTCGCCCTCGCCATGTTTCTTAGCATCCATCCACTCACCAACGTACTTGTCACCATAAGTGTACACTAGAGTGCCCTTGCCGTGCACCTGAGGGGAAAATACTGCGGTAACTGGTAAATGTATAAAGTACCTTATCCTGCTTCCACTGACCTTCGTACCGCTCCCCATTGGTGTAAGTGAGTACACCGTAACCCTCTTTGAGATCATCAACCCAATCACCTACACGAATCACGATACGACCTTTGTTGGTATTCCCGTCGGGGAGGGCAATAGTGGCCTCAAGATGCACAGTAGTGATCACATGAACTCAAACGGTCGAGTACGACAAGATTTCCACACAAGTGGAGTGAGTAAGCTCTTGCACAAATATCGCAGTATTACCTTCATAACGATTGCCGTTGGGGAAAGTGTACACACCCTTGCCACACATTTTACCATCCGCCCACTCCCCCTTGTAAATGCCGCCATCAGCATACTAAAATCGATCAAAAATTCCGAAGACTATGTGGTAGACTTCTATTACTTGGTAGGTGCCTTGACCATGCATTTTTCCATTTACCCAATCACCCTCGTACTTCTCGACAATCTGATGCGCCACATCTCCAGCAGACCTTGCATGTCACTTTCCTTACCTGTCCCTTAGCAGATACATACGTGACAGTGCCCCTGCCATGTCTCTTATCCTCTCGCCATTCACCATCATACCTACAGCGAAGGCTTCTGACTAGTAGTAAGCTTAGCCCAGTTGTATTACACATCTCCCTCGGCATAGCGATAGACGCCGTGACCGTGCATCTTGCCGTCCTAAAAACAGAATATCAACCATATGATAGGATCGAACCGGATACCAACCCAGCGAGAGGATGGCACGCAAACAGTTATACCACACTAGATGTTGAAGCTATTACATGCCATTCTCCTTCATACACATCGCCATTGTTGTATTTCAGTTTGCCAGTACCATTGATACGGCCATTCTCCCAGTTCCCTTCATAGGTATTCCCAGAGGCGAAATGGCTAACCTGAGGCCCCCAAAATGCCTTCCCTATCTGTTTCGTCACCTCCCCTTACCCCGTAACCCTGTATGTGGTCATCAACCCACTGGCCATCGTACACAGCACCATCACTGTACCTGACCTCAGTCCGGTATACGACGGTCTGCTCATAAAGTATTCCTACGTGAAACGTCCATGCCCTTCACGTTTGCCGTATACCCAATCACCCTCGTACTTCTCATTTCCCTGATATATTAGCGTGCCTACAGCGAAGCTAACATTGGGCGTTTTGAGACTATCGCAGTACCTTTGCCGTGGAAAAGGCCATCCTTTATCCCACCATTATACGCGTTACCACAATCCGCCATAAGCTGCTGCATTCGATGCTAACCCGGCAGATAACAATACCCTGCTTGATGAGACAACGATAGACTCGTGTGGAAACGCAACGTTGAGGAAATATAAGTGCGCAAGATGGCACCTAAGACGGCAGCACGTCGGTCGCTACCATCGTCTCTTGAGCAGCATCCCCATGCGTGGATTAGAGGACTACTCGACCTCATTCAAGCTGGGCATGGGCCTTTCCATCTTGGGCCTTGCTCTTCAATGGTCGGCAGCTATCTCTACACCGCAGCACATTTTCATGGCTATTGACGTTGTATTCATTGCCCTTGCTCTTGCTCTCATTATTGTGCAAGTTGAGGGTCGCCGAGACATTCCCAATAAGCTCGTCATCGCCATCTGCATTGCTATCGCTATCCCGGCCCTTCTCAACATCATCCAAGTGATTCGCCTTCATCTCAAGTACAGTCACACAGGCATACCCACGTGGACCCCCGTAGTGGGCCCGTCTGGTTCCGTTCTACTCGTAATCGGGTCCATCTTCCTCATAGTGGCACCAGAAGCCAAAGTATTCAACACCAAGACTGACCTAGACGGAGATGAAGTCAGGGTTGGGTTGACTGCTAATGATGTGTGACATCCTTGTTGCTATTCTTTGTTCACTGGCCTCCTGGCTCGTCTTGTTAAACGTATGTTCTTTGTGACCGCTATTATGTTGCGATGTCAATTCGGAGGTGTGATTAGCTCTACCCTTCTCATCTCCTTCATTCGGATCCATGAGTTTTGCTCAGCGAGATCGTAACTAATCGTATAACAAAAGTTCATGGCTTTCGTTTGCTCAGTTATCTTTCACCAGGCCTCTTCGACAAGCAATGAAGTCCTTGTCGAAATACTCCACACACTTCAAAGTCGGCGTAGCTGTTGGCGTCCTCGGCGAGGTCCTCTCCGGGGTTGCTAATGCCGCTTATCGGGTCCAGCTAGGCCTCGAGCTGGTCAAGCGATCCCAGCAGGATCTGCCAATAGACAACTTACAGTGCAATGCTGCCGGCTTTCAGAGCTTCATGAACGGCTTACAGCTCGTCATGATCATAGCCACTATTGCCCTTTTCATCGTACGCATTCAACGCAGAAGGGGCGTGTCTCGCATCTTCGTTGCCTTGTGCAGCGTCGGTATGATAGGCTTCGCTGTGGGTGGAATCCTGGGCATCGTCCTCATGCCCGGTGGATGCTTCATTAACGAAGTTATATGGGCGAAGATTTTGGGGTGTATAGGTCATGGCTTCGTCATCACCAGCGCTTTGCTGTTCGTGCTGGCGCCAGAGATGAGACAGTCATTGAAGGACATGGAGACGACTCAGTTAAATCCACAAGGCGTAGTCTACGCAAGCGCATAGACGCCAACGTATGAATGCAAGCATACTCATGTCATGGACGTGCTCTTTTGTTGTGATAGATTGTTGGAGTAGCGAATGGTTTGAGTTGAATAGCAGGGTGGCAGTGGCTACCATGTCTAGAGTTGTAGACGTGGATGATGACCAACGTATCATTTATCAGTGCGATAGTGTTCACGCCTTGTGCAGCAACAGCACAGAACAGGTCTACATCAATACTAGTGCTACTCTGTAACAGGCAGGGTTGGCTTCTCCCTTTGTGCCTATGTCTAGCACGACGCAGCCCCATTCGGCTCGTCTCCGGCTCGGCCTCTTCTACCTCTGTCTCGCCACCGCCCTTGCTATTACTGCTGCCCTATGCGACTTCACCCACGAGCATACGAATATCCTTTGTCCTAGTCTGTCAACATTCGACTGCAGATTCCGATATATTGTCACGGGCGTGATTGTTGCACAAATAATGTCCGTCTCTTGTCTGGTTCATTTTCTCTACGTTGACCAACCGTCCCTATTCCTCGTGATAGCTCTCTGTGTAATCGTACTACTTGAAGCCTTGGCGTCTGGCCCTCTTTTCATAGTTCACGCAGTAGTAGCGAAGACGCAGTACTATGCTCCCCCCATCTTGGCGTGTGGGGGAACTCTAGTTGCGGTTTTAGGAACGCTATTAGTCAGTCAGGCGGATGAGCTGAAGCCGAGGGGCTCGTTAAGCGACGCTGAAGTCGAGGGAATGGCAGAAAGTCGACCATTGAGTTACGGTTCCACTGTGAATTGAACCTGCATGTCCCGAACCCCAATTTTGATCGATGTCCTGTTTAACTATCTCGCATGGATGTTAACCGACCAGTTAAATTGTGTTAGTCGGTACTCGAGATTGGTGCTCACGCTTTCCTTTTCTCTAAACGAGGAAAAAAGCGTCCTGTTATTTGGGGAGTAACTCCTGCTAATACCGACTCAAAGGACGCAACTTTGGATTGTGTTGTCGCACAGGGAGCTGAGTACTTCCGACCGATATGTACTGGCTGCCAATACAAGTGAACATCACCCACTCATTGTTGAGTCAAGGCGATGATAGGGCTTCTGGTCACCGACCAGAAGCCTCGGGTCTCGGGGGAATCGGGTCTCAATAATGATCGTGGATTCATTAGTCGCTTACCAATGGTACGTTACCGTCACCGGGAGTAATCGAATTCAGTCACAAGTCTAGGATCGCCGACGTGGTCACGAACAAACTTGTGTCATCCGCCGCCGATGGTCGGCGGATAGAGTAGCTGCGTATCGGTAGCACCCTTACAATATCGCAGATTCTACAAGGCAGAATGTACGAATACCAGAAACTACTAAAACTTCTGGGCGTATCAATGATAACTGTTCGCTATGGCTGCTTCGCTAAGCTGGTGTCTGACCGATCTGTCGGTGCACCAAGTGAACTTCAATCTAGTTTCCAAGATTTCAGTTGAATTGAGAGTCTCCATCCTCTAGTAAACCACCATTGTCTCGCAATGCGGTGGGATGCAATTCATAGTAACGATTGGCAGAATGCCATTATACCAAATGGTTACTACCAATTGCATCCAATCGTTTACTTTGACAGCGTGCAATGAGAAGCTCTCACTAGTCGGCATTGACGATTCAACGATACCCGGGGGTTCGCTTTTGCACAAGTATCACTATGCAAAACCAAGGGTCTCGATCCAGGACACCCTTCACGTGAAATATCCACTTTTAGTTGAGGCAGTGCCTCTGAGGCACTTGCGTGCCATATTAGAGCTATTATTATCAACAATGCAGGGATGTTGATTCAACATTCGGGTGATTCAACTTCAACATTGTTGAAGTATTTAATTCTTCAACGGACGGATGTCGCAGGGGCTTGGCTGTTCATAACGGCTGAGAAGAAGCCACACGGTTAGCAACACACCGACCTCATTATGAGAGTACTGGCGTAGTTGCCCCGGTAATACGGAATTGAAGTCCCGAACAACGGAATCGGTTTTCCTAAAGGGACTAAATCGAAGGTCTCAAGGTTGACTCGACGAAATTGAATGTTCTATGACGAATTCGAGGGTTATAATTGCGAATATGATCTTCCCAATTCGGATTCGTACCTCCAACTTCGCGCGTCCCGACGAAATTGTGCGAGGTTGATAATGGTCGTAACACAGCCGAAGGTTGTATTAGGTCCTGACTGTCAGCCGGTCGGAATCCACCGAGATCCGGCTTGTCGGGGAACGACTCTTCCCCGATCCTTGTGGGACAATAATTGTGCCACACGTTGATATCCTTCGCACGATACGGTCGAGGTAATCGTAAACGTTGATGTCACCATTGTCCATCTTGACGTCAGAGAAGTATCTCATGACTTCCGCATGTGAATTTGACAGAGAGTACTTATGTTGAAGATAGCCAAGTGCTTGTGATAGTGTCAGAACATAGTCGTAAAAGTAGAGAGTGGGGTCCATAGTAGTTTCTAAGTGGATCTGTAGGTTACTCTTGACCGACTGGCTAAGACAGTTGGATAGATAGATATACGATAATCGAGGGCCCAGCGCTGTTTGCTTCGCTTCACAGCGGACAAGACTCAAGAAGTAGTTGATACCCTGTTATCAGAGTTCCCCTTGTATTGTTTGTTGTCGGGGCACTTGATATGGGAAACAGCATTGATGGCCTTTGTTGTATCAAGCGCCTTCTCCTTGTCATAGTTGTGGGATTGATCACACCAAGACGCCACGTTGGTAATGTCGTTGTTACAAGGGTGTTGTTGACCTTGCATGAGAGGGGCCTGGGGCACTCCTTGAGGGTAGACCTGCACAGTGGGAGCAGAAGATGTAACCTGCTGTGGATGTACTGTGTTTGCTGGCCTTCGAGAGAGGCTTGCAGCGTGAGAGTTAGGGCCTTCGGCGTCTATATAGATGAAGAAGGTACGTCGTAGATGGACCTTCTTACTAAGAGGTTGGCCTTCCATGGCAGTCTCTAACTCAGCGGCAGATAACCATAGTAGTAGTGAGGGTTCAGCAATACCGAGGACTTCAAGGAGCTCAGCCAGCGGGTTCTCCACCATGTTAGTAGTAACACCCGCACTGGTTGACTCAACAACACTTGGGATAGCCATAATAGGTAATAAGGCTTCTTATCTTAGCCATTTCAGCCTGAGGGCTGCGAGCCGTTTCAAGCAACGAATAATGGGCGAGCGAGATTCGTGCATACGCGCGCGAACACACGGCCGATGAAACGCTCGGCCTCAGTCATAACAACAAGTTCGAGACGCCATTTTGCTGGCTCGGCCTCTCGAGACTTTCTCCATCCCGAACCCGCCCGGGACATTTCTCTTCTCCTGCCCTATCTTTCACTTGACAATGCTCCGGCCAACCGTCAGCCAGCGATCATCAAGTGAGATATCCAAGTCCTGTCATTGTGCTCCCAGCCGCCATCACCATTGTGTGGAAGCTGTGGCCACCACGATCCACAGCCTACAAGGCTGCACCGGGCCAGCAGCCTCGGTTGCAAGCATGTAAGAAGCTCCGAATCGTCACTGATCCAGCCACGGGCCGTGGCCCACGGCTGAGACCCGTTCTTCGTGAGCGTCACGACCAGTGATGAAGCTGCTCATCGAGCCGGCCTCGATGATGCATCACCACCGGCCATATACTGACAGGATATGACTGGCTCCCACAGCTGTGCTCTGCCGAATGGAATGAAGACTCTCGCACAGAGTCTCTGTCATGCTCGCCGAGCGAAGCTGGCTAGCATCAAACCACAGCTCAGTGGGTTAACTCATCGAACAGACGATGTGCTCGAGTGGTAAAGGAGGTCAGCTCCAAACCCACTCAGCCACAGCTTTCGCGAGTTTGCAACTTCGTGCTGTCAGACAAGTCTTGGGCCGTCACTTTTAAGTCGGGTTTAAAAGGTGTAGTTCCAAAATAGACAAGCGCAAAAAGCAGGGCGAAACCGTAAGCGCTCTCTGTTGTCATGAAGCCGACAACGATACTGATGCTCACGTTCGTGAGACCCAGGAGTCGATTTAAGTGCCCTGATTTCCGAGTCCACGTTCTCGGAAAAGCGGCTTTTCCGAGCTCGGATAAAAACTACGAATTAAAGTGCGCTCGAAATTCCGTTTTTTCCCGAGCTCGGAATTCGTGTCACTCGGTTCCGAGGAAAGCGACTTTCCGATTTTCGATTAATGCCGGGGGGCCGATTTTAGACGTGCCTTGCTTTCCAATTTCCATGTTCGAAAAGTTTTCAGGGTCTTTGGATCCCCGGAAATCCGGACCCGAGCAAGGAAAAACTGTGCGCCAAGATAGCAGAAACTCAGCCATAAAACACTGTGTTTGAGCCTCAAACACATACGCTACGTGCAATAACTTATTGCAATATTGCCAATAAGCTATTCCCAATAATTTTATTGTCTCAGGCATGGCTATTGTCAGGATGGTTGAGAGCCAATTTCGGCGAAATCCTTCTGAAGGATTTCGCTGCCTGAATCAGGCAGCGAAATTATTTCGCTGCCTGAAGGATCTCCGCGTGAGACGGCGTAGACTCTAGGCCCTAGAGTCACTTCTGAGGAATGTATGCATCTGACAGCGAATGTTATTCGCGCATGCGCTGCCATCAGCAACTTCATCATCGAGCACAAGGCAGAGCAAGAAGAGGTGGTTGACTCGGATATTGAGTCTGCCACGAGCAGTGATTCAAGTGGAGCAGAGTAGAGGGTCTAAATTCGAAGGTTTCCGAGTTATGAGTTTTTACCGAGACCGAGCCCGTGTTGTCGTTGAGCACTTTAATTCGGGGAAAGTCACTCGGTCCGAGTTCTCGGAACAAGTCCTCGGAAAATCGAATTTTCCGAAGGAATGGAATTTCCGAGACTCGGAACTCGGTACATGAGTACTTGGACTCGGAACGCCTTACTAAGGCGTTCCGACGAGTACGGGGCTTGAAGCGTAACCGTAAAAGTAAACCGTAACGGCCCGTAACGTAATTCTGCCCATCTATAGCCTCTACATGTCAGCTCAAAACCACAAGATACCCAGCAAACACACCGATATACTTGCGGCGTGTTACATGCCGCTGCGGATTACCCAATGGATCCCCCAAACGCCAACTTTGTAGCCCAGGTTTGAACCACTCGACGGTCTAAATGGTGGCCACAGGAATCCGGATGGCAGGCTTAACCTTGAATATTAGGTATCAATATCTCTGCGAAAGATGTGGACGTGGTGCCCAAGAAGCAATTGAAAAGTACTTCTGTGCAGTCCCCGCACAGTGAAGTGTTTCGCATGTACAGTAGGCGTAGTACACCTGGTGTATCTCACGTCGCGAGGCTCACGAGAAAGGCCAGCAGACCTGCTTCACTTCGCATGAATGCAACCTCATTACATTCTATAACACTAGTGAGAAACACGAGTCAATGAGAATGAAGCAAGTGATAGTCTGGAACAGCACTGAAGTGTTCGACCTAGGGAATCTATAGTTCTCTCTGGATAGGATGAGCTTCGTCATGGGCGATCCTGTTAAAGATCTGCTCGAGCGTCGTCTGGGAGAGCTGGAAATCATGCATTTCTAGCTCTGCCTGGACGTGTGCAGGCGAAAGCTTCGAAAAGATGAATCCCAAGTCGAGATCGCGCGGAAGCGCAAATTCGCCAACTTCCTCCAAGGTTTGACACTCGGAGGAGACATTGATCATGAGCCACCTTAGAGCCTTCATATGCTGAAGAGCTCGGACGACGGCAGATGCCAGAGCACCCCGATTGAAGGTACGGTTGAGTGTTCCGTCCAGAGTTCCAGCAGTGAGCACGCTATCGACTAAACGACAGCCCTCGATGCCTAAAACAAGTGGACATCACTGATCAGATCAGTCTGATCTACTCTAAGCTATAACTCACCCAACTTCGAGAGTCGAGATTCTAAGTCAGTGTCCGAAAGAATAACATAGCCATCACGAATAGTAGCCATTGTGATGTCGTCATATGCTAGAAGTTGCTGCAAATTCTGCTCCTTCTCATCGTCAGAGGCTTCACGAAAGTGTATCCATAGCCTGTAGTTACGGCCGTAGTCTGACTTGATCTGCTGGGATGTTCCTAGACAGCGGAATTGTCCATTCGCCTGAAGGAAATAATATCATCCCACAACGACGTGAAGAGGCTCGTAATCAGATTCATCGGAGTGATACCTGGATGACCATGGTCTCGCATAGAGCATCTGCCTCTTCCATACTGTGAGTTGTGAGTATGACTGCAGACGTCTTATGGCGATCATGTGCTATCTTGTGGATCATATCCCAGATACGCCTGAGACGGAGCGATACAGCATTTTTGAACAACTGCTGGCGCTACCTCCGAGCTTCGGGATCGACCCCAGTCGTGGGCTCGTCCAAGAATACAATAGATGGATGGCCCACGAGCGCTATACCAGCGCACAGCTTCCTCTGATTGCCTCCGGAGAGTTTCACTGCCTCCTTGTCGATGTAGTGCCTGAAGACTCCTAGCATGAAATACATCCAGGACAACTCACTCAAGCCTCAATATCTTCACGAGGTCTTCGACGTGGTGTGGAATCTTATCAGATGGTACCCCACGTATACGAGCATACCTACAAATCACTGAGTGTTTCCCGATTAAGACCCGACCAGGCAAGCTACATATAAAGATGATCTCTTGCAGTAAGGCCTTGCAACAAGGGGTTCTCTTGCGGGCAATATCCTATGGACTTGCGGATCTGACGCCAAAATAAGCCGAAAGCGAAGCTCTCTACTCTGCACGTCACCTCGTGCACATTGCCTCGGAGGGGCTGACCAATGAGACTGATATGACCAGAACTTGGTCTTATCAAACCGCAAAGCATTCTGAAGGTAGTGGTCTTGCCGGCACCATTAACTCCGAGTAGGCCGAACACTCCGCCGTCAGCTAAAGCGTAATTGATACCCCTCACTGCCCATACCTGACACATTCTCATAATACTCTCATACATCTCTTATCAGTGGACTTGCCTCATTTTTCTTTCCCGGATAGAAGACTTTCTTGAGATCCTTGAAGTAGATCATTTGAGTCGTAGGATCGAGCTTCGATACTCTGTCCTTCTCCGCTATCACTCTCTCATCCTCTACACCAAGCTTCTCCGAGGGTACAGACAGATCACGGTCAGGATTCCACTTATCGTCGCTTTTCATATAGTCGATTAGCAGCAGAAGGCCGAAATATACCGCTCCATAGACGAATAACATTATAACATCATCGCCAGCAACGAACATGCAGACTTCGAAGGGCGAGCCGTTGATGTCGAATATAGTTACATCATGGCAGGTCCTCAAGATCTGCGAGTCGAACGGCTTCAGATCGGATCCGTAGACATTAGATCCAAGAATACCAGTAAAGAAAATACTGATGAGACCTTGAGCCACTGAATAGGTTGGGAATATCCTCAAAATCCACATTATGATCAGGCCAGCCAATGGAGAAACAGCCGCAAAGAAGAGAACTGATACCGCGAATGAGCCAACCAAACCACCGAGTATTGATGCGGCCACCCTCATATATGTGGCGATGGTGCTTGTGCGTGCAAAAACACTGATGAGGTAATTGAATGGCGGTGTAGCGAAGCAGAAGCCAACCAACAAGGCCCATACTGCAGCCTGGTTATCCGCTTCAAGATAAGTCTCGATTTTGTAGACCTGTAACGGGATGAAGGTGAGACAGACGGAGAAGAAAGTGAAGATGAAGTCGAAAACCCAGCTTGCTGTCCAATACGGCAGCACTCCGCAACCACTAACATACAACTGCTCCTTAATTTTGAGCGTTTTCTCCATCATCATGTAGGACAGGAGGGAAGCGGCCACAACCGTGAGGGCAATGGCGTAGAAGCCGCCCACCGAGAAGGAGATTGCGAAGTTCTGGTTCGACCCGGAAGACTCCCCGATAGTATGCGGGAAGGGGTGGTTGACGACCGTAAGGGATTCATTGCCAGCTAAGGAGAGTGGTGTCATATGAAGAGCAGTCATGTCAGCGAAAACGAACCGCGAGGTAACGCCCACGGTAGTGGCTTCGAACCATGCAGTATCCTTGTCGAGTAGAGAGGCCGAGAACCTCAGAATACCCGCGCACAGAGTATTGTTGAGTGTCGAGTTGAGCAATGCGTTCGGGTCATAAGATATGGCCCTATAAGGCTTCAGGAGAGAACAAGCACTCGATTCGGCATCGGTGAGGGGAAGAGAGGCGTCAATGCTCGGTAGTGGCTGACCGTTTGTGACAACATCAACCTTGAAAGGATCCGACGTGTTCCACGTTGCCACTATGTGGCCACTCGGTCCCGCACCATAAGGGTTGGACGCGGCAGCCAACGTCAGGGGGGCGGCATCCCCAATTGTCGATGCCGCCCTCTGGAAGCCCAACAGAACCAAGAGAATCACCATTGGTATGAGTAAGGCAGCGAGGGAGCCTACCCAATTCCGATAAGCATATACGATCCTTCTTGTCAGCAAACCACGGACCTGCTGGTGGAAGCTCGGTTTCAGCTTGATGTCATAGTCGGTCTTGTCGGGGAACTTGGTCGCAGACTCGGATCGAGAGGGAGACCGCCGAGCAACCTGAATGCAACACTTTATACCAATGAATACACCTTCAAACATATAGCTCATTCCTGGAACCATCAATTTTGTCGAGACGATCAACCCCCAACAGTAATATAGAGCTTGTGAGCTCCCTTGAGACCTGTACGATATCACGACTGCCGATCCCATCCCGGACTGACGTTGAGGAAGACGTCTTCCATGCTTGATATGGATATACCGTAGGAGGTGATCTGATTGGTGGACTTGCAATTATCGAGAGCTTCGAAAATCTTGGGGAAGCTCGAAGCACAGCTATAAGGGACCTGACAGACGTGACGGTGCTTTTCCTCTTCGACCGCTACACCAACCTGCAGGGCGAGTTCCTGACCAGCACTTGACCGTACACGCACGGAGGACGGGTCGTCGGTATTCTCCCGGACAGCATCGATAAGAGGATCATCAGGTGTAGTGGAGTCCTTCTTGGCGATGCTGAGTGTATAGCCGGCACCTAGATATCGCAATGAAGGCAGTAAGGGGGTGATCGCCAAATTGACCCACCAAATTGCTGCTTGAGGAAGCTGGTGGTGCCATAGGCCGTCAGTTTACCATTCTCCATTATACCAACTCGATCTGCTAACACATCCGCCTCGTCCATGTAGTGCGTAGTGATGCAGAGGATTCTTCCTTCACGTTTTGATCTCAGGAAATCCCACATTCTACGCCGGGCACTCGGGTCCATACCGCTGCTCGGCTCATCCAATATGACCAACTTCGAGTCGCCAACGAAGGCCAACCCAACCGATAGTTTCCTCTTCATGCCGCCTAACGGAACGACTAGACAGAAACGCGATAAGAGTTACGGGGCCTACCTGACAATGTCTTTACTCGTGCTCCGAACTTATGACCGAGTTCCATCTCAGTCGCGAATTTCAAGGCTTTCTCATCACGGCTCAAACCACGAAGATTGGCGAAGAGATTGAAGTGTTCCTCGACGGTGAGGTCATCCCACAGGACATCATGTTGGGGGCAGACGCCCATACTACGCCGAATCAGCGGCATCTCTATTGGAACTTTATGACCATAGATGCTCACGTCCTGAAATGGGGACACCGCCATGCTCAGTTGGAATGAGCAACATCGGTCAGAGAGAACAACGGGATACACTCACCCCACTGCTCGGAACTATCATTCCGCTGAGGGCATTGATGGTCGTAGACTTGCCAGCACCGTTGTGACCAAGGAGGACGAATAGCTCATCTCGATACATAGTGAGATCTAGACCGTCCACTGCATGTACGGATTTGAACCATACCTGAAGTGGAGCTCGCGAAGATGAACAGAGTGATGAGCACATTGCAGGCACCTTGAGGTCGTTTATCTCTACAGTCGCTTGTTCCTTCTTAAGCTCCTTCTGGTACGCTCCAGATACTCTCTCGATCGCTTCATTGACGTTACTCAGTTCCGAAGAAACGCTATTCGCACCTTCCGATGCCTTCTCGTGAGTATCCGAGATATTCTGCCCCCGCATCTCTCTCCAGAAGGAGCGGGTGAACAAGAAATGAACACTCCTGGTCGAGCGGTATTCATGAGGAACGACTTGATCTAGGTAGAGGTAGACGAGAGTATACAGTACACTATCGACCAGAAGCATTATAAGGCCTTGTATGAGGTTGAACTCTTCGAACTTCAAAGTGGGTGAGGTATTGGGCAGACCAAGGAAAACCTGCTGACCTAGGTTGCGCATGACGAGTATGTAGGCACATTGCGGCAGTAGCGAGACGGCCCATTTACTTGTCTCTCTGTGGACCGCAATGAGGGCATATGATAGTATGTAGTATATGACGGCACTAAGAGTCGCACCCGAGTTGGGATACTCAAATAACGTCGAGAGAGCAAAAACGAAGGCCATCGAGGCGAAGAAATAGAGAAATGTTAAAAGGAACAACCATAAAGCTCCAAAAGGTGAGAGTATCGCCAAAGACAAGAGGGCTACTATGATAGCGATGACTAAGTAGAATACAAAATACCAAACATACCAAGAAAAGTTGTAAGGGAAGTCATAGAGACCCATGATACGCATACCTGAAAATAAAGATAACTCAGCCAAAGAAGGAACAATAGACTGACCTTCGCGTAAGCGGCCACGTCTCTCCGAAATGAGCTTCCGTGTAACCGAGAAGGCCGAGAAAGTGAACAAAAGAGCTCCTACAAACCCAGCCAGAAGCTTCATAGTGCTACCAGAAGCTCTTTCGTTGTAAGTTGGATAAGGCATAGGATAGAGTGCAGAGACAGGCACGTCTGATCCTCTACGATAGTCCATCCAAGTGCCCATGAGGGGAGGGAACTGAAGACTATTGTAGTACTCTAAGCCATTGGTTACAGGGTCACCGTGCTGATAGTCGCCATTCTCAGCATACCAATAGCTCGTATAATCAGCGAGGTCTCCATGGGCCAGGCTAGACGCATTGCTCATAATAGTAACCTCATTCTCTCGTCCGACATTCATGTAATAGCATATCTCCGGATGTGAATCCAAACCGTAGGATGGAGACTTGACGTAGGCTGATGGATCAGAAATGGCCGTAGTGATGGTCAGCAGCGGCGCACCGTCACATATCCGAGGGTTGTCTACAGCTCTGATGCGGTCCCGCAGATAGCCGGCAAAGTCTGACGCTTGCTTGGTCCCCGCGGGACCGATCGCCATAGTGCCACAGAGACAACTGCCAACCACAGCCGCCAAGTTAGACTGGCGGTAGAAGTCACTGTAGGGGATCGAGGTTGATGCATTAAGTTTGGAATAGAGCATTTCCACCGATTCCGCATAGGAAAAAGTACCGACTCTCAAACGGCCTCCCGAGATGGAAGGGTAATCCGCAGCGGGCTGAACAGAGAAGCGAAGATGTACGACCAGGAGGCAGGATTAAGATCGAAGAGACCAAACTGAGTTTGGCAAACTCACGGTTGTTTCCAATACGTTCCCTTTGGAGTTGCCATAAGGTGGTATGAACAAGGCAGCTATAGCCACCACTATAGGCAGGAAAATTTCACAGCAGATGGTTAGCTTGGACCGGCGAGATAAAATGAAGTTCTTCTTGCACAGAGCTACAACCTGAAAGGCATTGTCATTCCACGGGCAATGTTGAATAAGCCGCTCCCTCACCTGAGCACGAAATAGATTTTGATTATGAGGTTTCCCGTTAGTCGACACAGCGACTTCAGTCATAGGATGAAAAAGGTATAACTTAGTCCTTAAACCGAACCAATGAGTCTCATCTATCTCCAAGTACGGAATAACGCCAGAGTCTCAACGATGGTGGCTAGGTTGTGGCTAGGTATAAGAGAGACGAACTCAGCCCACGGATACAGAAGCCGCCACAATCAAGCAACACTTCATTTGCACAGAGCACTCCTGGTCAAGTACTATAACAATGCCGCGTCCCAAGCACACTCGAGCAAGCGTGAGAGTAGATTCGCTGTTCGGCACGCATGCTAGCGTGACGCGGGCTCCACTTCTCCGTTGTCTACACTCCCCCATAGAGAAAAGATCGATTTTGCCCCTTCCAACTTTGACGCAGAATCTTCGAGATGAAACCAAGGTACCATCGTCGATAGTGTAGACTTTGCCACTCACGTTACTACGGTCAGACGACACAAACTCCAGACAGAATGTCCTTCATCAGACGCAGACTTCATCTGCATCTCTTTTGACGGCGTCTCTAAGGAACCTGTCTCGAGCATTGGTGGCGACCTGATCTCCTAAGAGTTCAATGAAAGCCCCCCGAATCGTCGAGGTCAACTCGTTGGGTCAGTTTACTCGGCGACGGTCTCCGGCGTGTGTGAAGGGACAGTCACGTTGTGTCGACGCAACACCTAGCGCTATTTAGCAGGATGTTGGGTTACATCCCACCTTCGCCTCAGTTATTTGTCGTCCATTTTTTACCAACCTCCCCACATTGGCCGAGGATCACACGTGTTTAGTGTCATCCTCCGGCCCACGACCCAACGCCGGGGAGGAAGGGAACCGGGTAAAGGGGTTGGGTTGGTTGGGTTGGTGAACCGAGATGTCAATGATGCCGCGCCATACCAAATTGGTATTTTCATGCACACCTAGCATTCTAGCCTAGCATTGGTATCACCAATCACTCAGAGTTGCCATTAGTCTCATACTACATTATTTCCCGGTCAGATGAGAAACTTATTCGATCATTTTCAGAGGGCATGGATGATCCAGTGGGAAATGGTGTAGTAGCCTCATCATTCCAACACATGGAATCCATGTGCAGAATAACAACAAGGGGTTCCATGGCCTGCGAATGCGCCAAAGGCCCTATGTGGCAGGGAACGCATGGTATGAACTGGCTTTCACTTATTGCACACCGATGCGGTTGCGGCGCACCTTGCCCGGGTCCGGAGGGTGTCGCTAAAGCACACCAGTGGTGCATTGATGGAACCAAGAGATTGTTAGCCCAAGTTTCATGGGACGGTCGCCACGTATGTATGTGTACGTATGCACGTGCAGATTATGTACTCTGCGCGGTGCGTTCCGGTCCCGCAGACTCCCTTGTCACAGAGATAGTTGTAGTGGCGCCCTAGGTCCGCATTGACATTGTCAATGCAAATCTTGTGTCAATTTGACAACATGATCTTCATGTTGCCATCCTCCTCACCTCCCTAGTCCCGAGCGCACTCCTCCTTCTGATCTATCATCAGCTTAATCCTGGCAGAATCATCCTACATATACGATACAAACGGCATGGTACAGAAGCCAACCGATACCTCTTAGACGTGTCTACGTCAGAGAGTTTCTCAGGAGTCGTGTTGTAGTTGATATATCAGAAATGTATCAAAGATATCCTTCCCGGTGACATCACCTGAAGCAACGAGCGTACATCAAATACGACGCATTTTGTTGGGCTCGATGGACCTCGGACTTTGGGGCGAGAAAATGAACGCCCCCGCTCAACCAATAGACCGTTCTGATTCATAACTGAATCAACCTGCCTCAATCCTGAAAGCTTGTACTCGCTGCAGACGACAGTTATGAACTCTCAATCAGTGTGAGAGGAACCTTCGATGGTTTCGTTCTTTGCCAAAAGGAATAATGCCATGACAAGGACAACGAGCCAGGGAAGACCCCGTTCTCGGATACAATATAGCCCGCGCTCAGAGCGCGGCTCTCCACTGACGTAACTCACCAGGGCGAGCATATCCTATCACTGCAAAGTATAAAAACCCACTCGTAAACTAGTACTAAATAGTTCTCCCATTGAGTCCGCATTCAACACTGCGTGCCTTCTGCTCGGAAGCAAGTGACCGGCCGACGCGTGCACCCAGCTCAACTAGGATGCTTGAAAGTGCTTGTGCGAGCGCCAGGGTGACCCGGGTTGCGTGTGCGACGCAGACTGTGCGAATCAGCCGCCGGCTGACAGCCGTTCAGCATTCTTGACCAAAGCTTTTGACGGTTAGACTGTCTGACTCAGACACTACACCCTTGCAATTCCTTGGTGAATGATGCTTGCTACACGTTGTTTTGGCAGCTGGTCACTTGAAGCGGTATAGGTCCGTGTCGGAAACTGGTGAGTTGACTCGACTCACCGGTTTCCGATACGGTCGACTCAGTCAAACAGAATTCAACTTAGAAGGAAAATATTGGCCTATCAGATATGCCACCTGATCCTACCTGTCTTCAACTCAAATGTCGTATATGAAATGAAGTATATATTTGAAATATGTGCTTCGTTAGTATCGGATGAAGCTTCGGATGGCCCGGAAACCTCAAATACTGGCGGTGAGGTGTGCTAGTCTGTTATGTCTTTGGGGCCAAGTCTGCCGACAACAGTGCTCCAGTCACTGGAGTCCAGTGGCTAGTTCCACACAAACGAGAAACCTCCCTAAACGGCCTGATAACGGACGAGAATCCCTGGTGAAAGGACCTTTCTGATTCAGGAATCCTGAAGGGCCAACGAGGTGTGTATCTCTGAAACCTACCCAAAGACCATGGTCAGTACTATCCGATAGATGGGCAGCGTAACGTTTTTTTACGGTTCACGTTACGACGTGCGTAACGTAAGCAGTTTACGGTTACGGAAAGGCCTTACGACTTTACGGTTGGTGCTGAACTGCTTTTTCAGAATTGTGGCAAAGAGATTCACTGTAATGCACTCTACGATAGCTCAAATAGTTGTTAAACTCGTTCTTTGAGGCTCGGATCCAACCGAACCGATGAGAGAGTAGCATTTGGTTTCGCATTTACCACTCGTCTCCTTTGCAAATTCCGTCCGTCTTACTCCCAGGCTGGCCCGGAACTGCCAAGCCGGCCTCCATGGATTCGCATTCACATGAAGTAGATTTAGGCGACATGAATGATCAATCCTCGTTTTGTCCTCTGTATCTCCGTAAGGCCCGTTACGGCGCCGTAATTTTACGGTACGGGGCTTGAAGCGTAACCGTAAAAGTAAACCGTAACGGCCCGTAACGTAATTCTGCCCATCTATATACTATCGGACCGGTCCGACTGGCTGGGTTTAGTTAGTGAGCGGAGATAGGCGGATAATATGAACAGTAGAATACGCGTACTCCTTCCTGTCACTGGCAGACTACCAGGGAGGATTAATCTAAATCAGCAGGAAGCTCCTGGTGATCCACAGGCTATCGCCAAATTGGCCATTATTATCAAGACAACAGGGACTCCCACTCTTGGGTTCGTTATGCTACGTATTTCTTTTCTCGGCATTCTCACACATCAAAGTTTGAGCCGACTTGATCATTTAGGAGATTCTCACCACTCAAATCCTTGGAAGCGAGGGGATTGGTTAGAGTATCTCTGACTATGTGGAGCTCTAATGAAGCCGGTCTATCTCCGCCGTTCATCAGCGATGACGGTCCCAACTTCGTATCCACGTAACCGGGACCCGGTTGACTAATCAATGCTTTGTCCGACAACACATTGACGACAGACTCTGCCGTAGAGGAGTACTAGGGTGTCGGAAAAGAGGTTCCAAAACGGCGAAAAGTTTCGGAGGAAACTTTCCGGGGATTTTTCCGAAAGTTTCGTAAAGTTTCACAATTGGCGGGGAAGGGATATTCGCGTAATTAAGAGCAAATGCGTTGACACACAATTCATTCTTGCAAGCCTCCGTGGGGATCATATTGCATTTAAGACCTTCCTGTTTGCTAAATCAACTACTACAACCTTTGCCGCGGATCGTGTTGGTCATATATGCGAGTGAATTCATATACCGGCGACTGTCAACAGTAACTCGTTTGATTACTCCTCTACGCTGCATCATGACGCCAGTGGCGCCGCGCTGCACATGACGGGACTGTACATCTTCTCAATCTCAAATTCAACAATCGAAAGAACAAATTAGATGAATGAAATCCGATTTTGGACAAGTGAAAGGAGTTTTCCACGAAATGAAAGTTCAAGTTCGAAATGAAAGTTCGATTTTCGTGGACCGGTTGAAAATGAAAGCTCAAATTCGTAAATGAAATTTATGAATTCGAAAACGCAAGTTCAAATTCGTCGAGCACAATGAAAGCTCACTTTCATTCGATGGAAGGAAGTTCTCGTCAGCATCGTGCCACGGATTGTGACTTGCGACTAGCAAATTTCGAGTGCTGATGGTGATCTACGGACTTCACTGTTATGCTGAACAGTACAGTGCAATTCACAAAATTGCAATGAAGGACTTTCAGAGATTCAAACCGGGACATCGTTCGGGTTTGATTCTCCAATGGAGAATCTCCATTTCCCTTCCGATGACATCGGAAGGATAATGGGGTCGGCACATGTTCGGTTGGGTTTCCGAACCGCCAGTCCACCGGACTGAGTCCGGTTGGGCGGTTCGTGAGTCCGGTTACCGGACTATCAGAACCGAACTTTGATCGACCGAATACCGAACCGGACCAAACCTCTACGAAAAGTTCGGGTTTCGACGGGTTACATCGGTCCCGGACCGACGGTCCGGCGAACCGATGTGACCCAACTGTTGGGTCCCAACATTGAACGTTCCAGAGAACGTTACTCGTGAATCTCACTCTGTGCAATAACTGTTCGCATTTGAGAAGTACCTCGAGCAGTCCTCGCACATTGTGCGAGTTTTCAACTCGTGGAGTGTGAATAGCGCATATCGAGATGTGTTGAAAGTGAGCTTTCATTGGTCGAAATTGGTCTTGTGTTCGACGAATTTGAACTTTCATTTTCAACCGGTCTACGAAAATCGAACTTTCATTTCGAATTTGAATTTTCATTTCGCGAAAAACACCTTTCACTTGTCGAAAACCAAATTTCATTCACCTAATTTGTTCTTTCAATTGTTGAATTCGAGATTGAAAATGTGTAGATCATCATATTCCATCCCTAGCTTAGATTTGGAGGACTACTCCATTTGAAATCAGTAGACTTCCTCTGGAAAGGCCTTGAAGTGGGAGCTCTCATTCAAAATTTTATTAGGAAAATTCTATATTGTAGACGTTGGGATGGCTCAGTGTAGATTCTACTGTAGAATATACATTCAGCGGCAGCCGCTCAATGTTGAGTCAACAGAGGAACAACGGTGCCGAGCTAGAAGCCCTGCCACCTGGTGAAGACCGGCGTGCGTCTCGCAGGCTTGCTGGCCAACTGTCGCTTCCGCCACCCTCGAGGCTTCCACGAGAACTCAGATCATACGGACATCGCTCTCCTCGACGAGAACAGTCTACACCTTCACACAATGTACAGCTACATTCGCAACATGAAAGGCCTATACATTCCTGCGAAGGTCATCTACCTCCCCACGAAGAGAGTTCTACATTCTCACGTACTGGTCATCTAGAGCCTCAAGAAGAAGGTTCTACATTCTCACATACTGAACATCTACCCCTTCAACAAGAACGCTCTATCTTCTC